CACGCCCGGCTGATTTTTTGATTGATTGTAGAGATGAGGTCTCGCCGCCCAGGCGGGTCTTGAACCCGTGGGCTCAGGCCATCCACTTACCTCAGCCTCCCAAAGGCGCGGGATTACAGGCTGAGCCACCGAGCCCGGCTTACTATTATTTTAATATTATGAAAAAGTTAGAGTGCTTACTCGGACGGCAGGCCTGTGTCCCCTCCCCCCACCAACAAATTCATATGCGAGGGCGTTAGGAAGTGGGGCTTTTGGTTTAGATCAGGGGTTGCCAGCTGGTCCGTGGCCTGTTAGGAACCGGCTCCATGGCAGAAGGTGAGCAGCAGATAAGCGTGCAAAGCTTCATCTGTGTTCACTGCTTCTCCCATCGCTCACATTACCGCCTGAGCTATGCCTCTGTCAGATCAGTGGCAGTATTCGATTTTCAGAGGAGCGTGAACCCTAGTGTGAACTGCTCATGCGGAGATCTAGGTGGTGCACTCCTTATGAAAACCGAATGCCTGATGATCTGAGGTAGGGCTCAGGCGGTGATGCTAGTGATGGGAAACGGCTGCAGACAGATTAACATTAGCAGGGAGATCTCACTGCATTAAACTGGTCCCTGACGCCAAAAAAGGTTGGGAACTGCTGGTTTAGGTGATGTCCTGAGGGGGGCAACCCCAAGGCATTAGTGTCCTTATGATAAGAGGAAGAGGCCAGGCCTAGGAGCTCATGCCTGTCATCCTAGCACTTTGGGAGGCCGAGGTAGGTGGATCATTTGAGCCCAGGAAGCTGAGGCCGTGGTGAGATGTGATTGTGACACTGCACTTCGGTCTGGGCAACAGAGCAAGACCCCGACTCAAAATAAAAAATAAGAGGAAGAGAGGCCAGAAGTCGTACTCTGTCTCCCTCCCTCCCTTCCTTTCTCTCGCTCTCTGTCTCTGTCTCTCTCTCCACCATGTGAGAACACAGCGAGAAGGTGGCTGTCTGCAGACTAGGAAAGAGTCCTCACCCAAGACCGACTCTCTCGGCACCTTCACCTTGGACTTCCAGCCTCGAGACGTGAGACACGTGTCTCAAATCCAGTCCCCAACCCGGCACGTATTGTGATAACAGCCCGAGGGGACTGACACAGAGCTTGGCACCGAGAAGTGAGGGGCTGCTGTCACCAGCACCTCGAAATGTGGATGTGGCTTTGGAATGGGTGATGGGTGGAGGCTGGAGGGGTTCTGAGGAACGTGCCGGAAATACAGGACCGAACCGTCAAGGCTACCCTGTCGAGAAAGACGTACCCATGCCCCCTCCCGCTGCCGCCTGACTGCTGTGGCCGACAGGGCACGTACCCAGGGGAGTCGGATTGGCTGGCCTCCGGGCTCTGCCGCCCATGCCGGGGAGGCGGCGGGATGTGTGACGGTGGCGCCTGGGACAGCTCTGAGTTGAGGTCCGAGATGTCTGCGGGGAGAGGGCCTCTCATCAGCCATGGTCAAGCCTTTCCGATCAGACCCATTCCACAGAGGGCACCATCGAGGACCCTCTAGAGAGAGGGCCCTAGACCACGGTCAGGAGTTTAGTTAGAAGATTCCGCTTCGGGCTGGGCATGGCAGCTCACACCTGTCATCCCAGCACTTTGGGAGGCCAAGGCGGGAGGATCGCTTGAGGCTAGGAAGTCAAGACCAGCTTGGGCAACAAAGTAAGCCCCCTTTGCAAAAGATTAAAAAATGGCCGGGTGCGGTAGCTCATGCCCGTAACTCCAGCACTTTGGAAGGCCGAGGCAGGAGGATCACTTGAGCCCAGGAGTTCAAGACCAGCCTGGGCAACGTAGAGAGATCTCATCTGTACAAAAAATAAAATAATAATAAAATTCAACAAATTACAGCTGGGTGCGGTGGCTCACGCCTGTTATACCAGCACTTTGGGAGGCCGAGGTGGGGGAGGGGTTCGCTTGAGCCCAGGAGTTCAAGACCAACCTAGGCAACATAGTGAGAACTCGTCTCTATTTAATAAAATAAGATGAAGGTTCAGTATTTTTGGTTTTGGGGGTTTTTTTTTGAGTTGGAGTCTCACTCTGTCGCCCAGGCTGAAGTGCCTGGCACGCTCACAGCCACAGTGTCTACCTGCTGGGCTCTAGCGGTCTTTCTGCCTCAGTTCTCCAAGTAGCCAGAACTACAGGCACACGCTACCACACCCGGCTAATTTTTAAAATTTATTTTCGAGACGAGGTCTCACCAAGTTCCCCAGGCTGATCTTGAACCCGTGGCCTCAGACAATCCACTCGCCTCAGCCTCCCAAAGTGCTAGGATAACAGGCTAAGCCACCGTGCCCAGCTGAGGGTTCAATTTTGAGAGGCTCTAGCCCCGACTTGCTGTGTGGCCGCAGGCAAGTGCCTGTCCCTCTCTGAGCCTCTAAGGACCAGGTTCACTGACTCCAGCCAGCCCAGCCTGGAGGGCTCCACCTTCCCGCCCTCCACAGGGCCCCATCCTGAGCTGCCTCCCGGGCCCTCACCCTCCAGGAGGGAGCTGTCGCTGTCACTGACGGCCGGCGGGATGTTCACCAGGAACTGTCTGTGATCACGCAGCACCAGCAGCGTCAGCCTGCCCTCCGACTTCTCAATCAGTCGCCGGGTGTCACTCAGTGACAGGTTCTCACTGGACACCCCGTTGATCTGAAAGGGACCAGGAAGGAAGAGAGGAAGCCGGTTAAGGAGAGATGGGGCACACTAGAAACAGCCAGCATGGTGGAGGGTGGGGGACTAGAAACACACAATCCCTAGGGGCTACTGAAAATAGACACTCCCTGGGGGAAAATGTGAGAATTGCGTTCCTGCTGTGAGTGGGGGCCACGCCAAGGACCGATGCCCACTGAATTCTAGAAGCAGTTTCCTAGGAGGGGTGGAAAAATTAGAAGTGGGTTGTCCCTCCTTTCTCCTGCGAAGTGGACATTTCTCTGGGGACACGAGGCATAGATCTGGGGTGATGTTATAAACAATTCTACCTGAAACACACAGAAACACATGGTCTCTGGGGGATACCTGAAACAGACATCTGGCGGTGAACTAGAAACATACAATTCATTTTATATTTTTATTTTTTTGAGTCAGAGTCTCGCTCTGTCACCCAGACTGGAGTGCAGTGGCCGCTCCTGGCTACCGCAGCCTCAACCTGCTGGGCTCCGGTGATCCTTCCACCTTAGTCTTCCAAGTAGCTGGAACCACAGGCGTGCACCACCACGCCCGGCTAATTTTTTGATTTATTGTGGAGGTGAGGTCTTGCCAAGTTGTCCAGGCTGGTCTCGAACCCCTAGGCTCAGGCAGTCCTCTCGCCTCGGCCTCCCAAAGTGCTGGGATGACAGGCATGACCCACCATGTGGTTATAAACATAAAATTCCTAGAAAGAACTTAGCGTCCTCTCCACTAGTACCAGGAATCAATTCATAACATTTTTTGCCTCGGGTGTGTCTGTTTTCTTGGGTTTTTTTTTGTTTTTTTGAGTCAGAGTCTCACTCTGTCGCTCAGACTGGAGTGCAGTGGCCGCTCCCGGCCACCGCAGCCTCGACCTGCTGGGCTCCGGCGATCCTTCCATCTCAGCCTTCCAAGTAGCTGTAACTACAGGCGTGCGATACCCCGCCTGGCTAATTTTTGATTTATTGTAGAGATGAGGTCTCGCCAAGTTGCCCAGGCGGGTCTCGAACTCGTGGGCTCAGGCAATCCACTCACCTCAGCCTCCCAAAGGCGCGGGATGACAGGCTGAGCCACCGAGCCCGGCTATTTTCAGTAACCCCTGGGATTGTGAGTTTTTCTAGTTTCCCACCAAGTTATCTGTTTCTAGTGTCTGCTCCAAGACACCAGAATCGGACAATTTCTCAGGGTCACTAGAAACAGATAACTTGGTGGAATACTAGAAACAATCAACTCCAAGTAGTTTGGAAATTAAACACTAGGAATTGCTAGAAACAGACTTTCAGGAAAGAATCTAGAAAGAAACCAACCCTGGAGTCAAGGCAGTTTCATCCAACCACCTGAGGTGGGTCTAGGACCCAGCTGGTCACATGATTCTAATGCACAATGAAGCTGGGAGATACTTGATACAGATTACCCCAGGAGGGTACTAGAAACCGACATTTGGCAATAGATCAGCAGTGGTTGGGGAAAAGGGAACTTTAAGCCTAACTATTTCTCTATCAACCACACAGAAGGTCAATGGTCTGGGGCCTGGCTCTGCCAACTTCACTGTGTGACTCGTTGGCACTGCCCCTGCCTCCCAGCCTCGGTTTCCCCATCCTGGGACAGGAAGCCCGGGTTTACCTGCAGGACGAGGTCTCCCTCCTGCAACCCGCGGCTCCGGGCAGCCAGGCCTGAGTCCGAGATGTGTTTGATGAAGATCTGACTGCCCAGTTTGACACCGAACTCTGTAGGGGGAGGAGGGAAACTGAGACAGGACCGGAGATGGGCGCCTGGGAACGTCCTCCCGCTGTAACCACGGAGTCCAGGTCCAGGCCCTCCCTTCCCAAGACAGTGATGACATCACAGTGAGAACAGAGATGTCCCCTGCGGGCTTGAGGCCTGACAGTGTTAGTAACATCTTCGGCGGGCAGGGGACAAGGTCCTGGTGCCATTAGTGAGGTCGTAGTGCACAGGCTGAGGGCGTGACACTGCTGAGGACATCGTCACCTTTAAGAGTTTTCAGATGTGACTCTTTTTTTTTTTTTTT